GGCTCGCACACGCACACGCATCGGTGTAGGCACACACCCGTGCGCATCCACGCTCCTCTTCTGGAGCCGAGGGACCTGACCGAAGCCGCTGTAACTCCTAAACGCTGAAGCGGGGATTTGCACCCGCAGCGTTAACTCCTTGTGCGTCCGCATTATCGGGCATCCACGGGTTTTATCGGTGTTAAGAATTTCAGGAGACCTGCGATAACTTCGGGGTTTCCTTCTGCCTGCAGGTAGCGGTATCCCAGGAAAAAAAAAAAAAAACCAAAACCAAACGGGTGCTGCTTCACAGCCTCGATATAGGGAGCCTTGCGCTTGCCACGTGTCCAAGTCACACGTATATATCATCTACCGCCTGCAGGTGTGGATTTTGAACTGCCCAAAAGACGAAGTGAGTGTTGTGTAGTCCCGGTTCCTTGGATGCGTGCAACATTTTGTAACATGCGCACGTTACGCGTGATAAATACGATTTCGATATATTCTGCTGTGACCATACTTCGAAATAATACTCCAGCCTCAGTCATTACATTAACAGATCTAACGAGGTAATGTCTGTCTTTCAGGCAACATTGTGGATCGATGAAGCATTTGTCTTTTCCCTATATCCATAAAAAAAGCTCTATCAGATTAATCCCTCCGCGGAAATCGATATGGATTCTGTACCTCACCGCCAGCGAGGGTGCTGCTACGCGTGTGCCTCGTTCACGGTCTGCGCGGTTTGAATTGAAAACTGGTCCTTAGGAATCTAAATTTTCTTTCTTTTTTTTTTTTTAGTTATACGTGGTGCTTAGCCACGTTCAGGTTTTCTAGCAATGATTTCTGGGTCTTAAATGCAGGGCCGATGACATAACGTTGTTCCTTAGTGACATCAATAACTAAGAAGTTGTGAATGAATGTTGCGATCGGAATGGCTTTCCCCCCTGCTTAGAAACAGCCGAGTAAAGCAGTATGAAGCGCCGGTAGTTTCTCACGACAGTCTTCTTGCCTAGGAGTCTTTAACTCACATTTTTTTACAGCACTTTGGTTTCTAGCATGACCTAGTTATATCTCTACATAGGTGATGTTGCGAAAATGTGTGACCTTCCAAGTAATTTTTACAAAAGCAAGCCGGAGAGCCACTGGCCTAGACTGCGCCTGTCGGCGGGCGAGAGCCACGCGCTCTTCGGCTGCTCGCTCCAGCTCCCCGGCGAGCAGCACCCAGCACCCAGCACCCAGCACCTTCGTGCCTCTGCCCCGCGCCATCTTCCCCCGCGAAGCCATAGGCTGCAGGCCCACTTCACGAAACCGGAGGGGAGAAAGCGTTTGAGCCTTGGGGAAGCGCAAGAGCATGGGAACGTTGAAGAAAAGCCAAAACAACAAAAAAAAAAGAGGGAAAGAAATAAATAAATAAAGGGAGGGGGAAGCGCGGCGGGGCGGCGGGCTGGTAAGGACCAGCGGCAGGCAGAGAGAT